TGGTCTTTTACCCTTTGATAGCTGTTATAATTGTCTCCCTATACTGAAGTTCTGCACATCCAGTAAAACTTGTCAACATATAAATTTATTTTTATTTATCCTGGTCAGTATTTAAGGCATATTTTCCAGTTATAGACTCATGCTTTCCTTCAGTTTTAGAAAATTCCTAGAAATTATATTTTTAAATATTATTTCCCCATCTTTCATCCATTCTCTCCTCTGGAATTCCTAGTTTATGAATATAGGAAACTTCCCACCCATCTTCCATTTCTCTTAACTACGCTTTAGTATTTATTATCTTTCTGCCCTTCTGTCTATAGTTTATACTACTGACTGCACTTTTTAATTGCAATGACTAACTTTTTCATCTGAAATATTTCTATTTTTCATCATATTCACCTATTCAGATATCATTTGTTTTTATTTTTCATAATTTCTTGTTCTTTTTATTTTTTATTTTATTTTATTTTTTTGGTGCGCAGCAAAGCAAAGTTTACTGAGTGATAGCACAAAGCTCCCGAAGAGGAAGGTACCCAAGAGGGTTGCCCTTCTTGTTCTTTTGAAATGAAAGCCTTCATTTAACTCCAGACATCTACCATATATTTAAAGTCTGTATTTAAGTTATTAACAAAATTAATTTCAACTGGAGTACAATGTTCTGATTCTTGATTTTTTTCATGTTTATATTAGCATTGGGTTCTTCGTGTGTTTTACTTGGAATTTTGAATACCAGACTCATTTTGAGTGGGAGATGTTTTGTTTTGTTCTCTTTTCATTCATCCTTATTTTTCCCTCCCAGTCCTTCCTCTAGTCTAGTTTTATGGTCCCCTTCACCCACACCTTATCTAGAGCCAGGTATGCATAAATGTATGTGTGTACATATTTTGTCTCACTTAGCTGTCATATGTACATGCTTCTTTCCAGATTTATAGCAAACTCTTTGGGGATAAAGACCATGCCCTGTGCATTTGCATTCATGACAACATCTATACAGTGCTGACCACCAAAGATGTACTCAGAAAACAGTAGCTAAGTTTCTAATATCTGCACTGGGAGTTACAAAGCCATCTGACAGAACTTATTTTGGATTTACTAAGTAGAGGTTCTAAAACATTTTGCCTTATTTCCTCATTCCCACTGTACCCAAATCAAACCTCCCCACATTCAATTTAATTAGAAGTTCAAGAAACTGCCCATTCTGACTTTATCCTAAGTGGCAAATGGTGGCAGAAAATGAGTTAATACCACAAAACTAATGGCTCAACAATGATCACAATCAGCACCCATTTCCACTGTTGTGGAACTACCCTGAAAGGTTTTGACATGACTCAGTCCCTTGCCTTTCTTTATTTCTTTCACCCAGGACATCTCCACAAGTAGGTATCTTAATGTTGAACGTATAAGTCTTCCGACCAGGGAGAGTATAGGAGTTAATACAAAAACAAATAGAAATATTTAGCTATGAGTTAAGTATAGGTTCCAAATTGCTCCTTATATAGGGTCATCCAGGAAGCCTTTTCTTTCAATGGACCCCGACCTGGGACATATCACTCAAAAGAAGTCTTGTGTTTGATCTCAGTACTCCACGCAGTCAGAAACTACTATGAAGGAAGATGCAATACAACAAAAGATTCTTCTATAACTCAAATGTTGAGGTACTGATAGGAGCTACAATTAGAATTTGTCAAGTGGAATGAAAATTTCATATGTTTAAATTATTTATTATATTAATAAAATATTGTTCTTCTATAATCTAAATCATTTTCAGTGAATTAAACCTTCAGCAGATTTATCTTCTGGTATCTTTAAGTCAAAATCTGAACGCGTATTTTAGAAGCCCAATAGAACCAATCAATGTCACATAGTTTTCAATATTGAATAGTTATATCCCCAAATATATATTCCTTTCCCAGCACACAGGTATTACATATTTTGGCTCCCACTATCCATAAGATTTTCTTTCCAATTTAATCACTAAATAGGATTGTATTTATAAATGGTACCAGTTTTGAAAAATAGCTGATGTATTCTATAATTTCTTCCCAGTTCATTTACAAATAAAAATATTGTTAATCTTATCTTTTCTCCTAAAGGTTGATAATAGCCATATTAAACTTAGAATATTATTTCCCATTAAAAAGTTTTATTGAGACAAACTGGGAAAATAAAGTTAGGCCATTTCATATCCAATTCTTTGTAAAACAAACAACCAAAAAGACCCCCTAAAAAACCACAACAAAACAAAACAAAACCAACACCTCACAAACAAAAAAACCCAAACTGTTGCTAGAGTATCATTCAACTGCTATTCTCTGGTTTATAAAACACTATAGGAATTTGAGGGGTTGGTACAACTTCAAAGTTTAAAAGGTAAATATGGTTTTATCTGCAGAATCAGATTCCAAAAGTACTAATTAATGAGGAAAATGGAAAAAATCCATGAATGTTTTACTGCATTATATTTCATAATTTTAAAGAGTGATAACAGAAAACTTCCAAGCATGAAATATGTGAAGAGCAATTTATGGCACTTTTAATATATTTTTATTTGGGTCTTTTATTCTTGGTATTCTTTTATGGTTAATTTTTTTTTTTTAAGATTTTATTTATTTATTTGACAGACAGCGAGAGAAGGAACACAAGCAGGGGGAGTGGGAGAGGGAGAAGCAGGCTTCCCGAGGAGCAGGGAGCCCAATGCGGGGCTCGATCCCAGGACTCTGGGATCATGACCTGAGCCAAAGGCAGACACTTAATGACTGAGCCACCCTGGCGCCCCTGGTTCATTTTAAATAAAAACAATGTGACAGGCACCTGGGTGGCTCAGTCAGTTAAGTATCTGCCTTCAGCTCAGGTCATGATCCCAGGGTCCTGGGATGGTGCCCAGCATTGGGGTCTCTGCTCAGTGGGAAGCCTGTTTCTCCCTTTCCCTCTGCCTGCCACTCCCCCTGCTTATGCTATCAAATAAATAAATAAAATCTTAAAAAAACAAAAAACAAAACCAATGTGACAAAACCATGGAGACAATAAAAAGATCAGTGGTTGGCAGGGGCTGGGAGAGGTAGTGAACAGAGGATTTTTAGGGCAGTGAAAATACTTTGTATGATATTATAATGAAAGACATGTCTGTATACTTTTGTCCAAACCCACAGAATATACAACACCAAGAATGAACCTTAAGGTAGACTATGGACTTTGGGTGATTATGATGTGTCAAGGTAGGTTCATCCTTAGTAAAGAATAGACCATTCTGGTGAGTGATGTTGATAACGGGGGAGGTTGTGCATGTGTAGGAGGAACTAGGGATATAAGAGAAATCTCTGTACCTTCCTCTCACTTTTACTGTAAACCTATAACTGTTCTAAAAAAATTAAGCCTTAAAAAAAAAAAAGCCCACAATGTGATATATCTTCATAACTCTTTGCATGTGAGTTTTGTAATTAAAATATAAGTTATCATCAATAACACTAATGTTATGTTGCAAACAGCATTATTTTCAAAAAACAATCCTATTTATATGTAAATTTTAATACTTCTCATTTTGAAAGTATTAAAAAATGGTTAAAAATAGTTTTTTCTGGGGCGCCTGGGTGGCTCAGTTGGTTAAGCGTCTGCCTTCAGCTCAGGTCATGATCCCAGGGTCCTGGGATCGAGTCCCACATCGGGCTCCCTGCTCAGCGGGGAGCCTGTTTCTCCTTCTCCTTCTGCCTGCCTCTCTGCCTACTTGTGCTCTATCTCTCTGTCAAATAAATAAACAGAATATTTTTAAAAAATTTTTTTCTGCTGAGTTGGGCAAAAGAGAAAGTACTTGTGAAAATACATGCTAAAATACATGTAAAATATGGAAATACAAAAGCTTATTTGAAGATCTGACAAGGCTTTTTAACACAAGAAAATTCTGGGGCTGTACTTATAGCTAAATTAATCAAAAGAATTATTATTTCCTTTGGCCTCACCACCGACCCCTGAACCCTGCGCCAAGTTTGCATTATAGCAACCTACATCGTTCCTTGGTATCTTAGCATTTTAAAAGCTCTCAGACTTACAATGGAGTTCTTATGCTACTAGCTCAAGACAGGTCACAAAGGTGTTCTTAATAATCGAGTACTGGCTGTATATCTTATTATACTAGTATCAAGCCTTACAATTTCATAAAATACAGGCCAGATAACATTCACATAGGAAGAAACCACAATTACTACTACTTTACCAGACAGTGTTTTCCAACCTTCAAGTTAGTAACATCTAGTGATTTTTTCTAAATCTATGTATCTTTATACTAATAGTACTTTTCTTTAAATTGACTTACTTTGGCAAAAAGACAATTTCTTTAAAAATTGAAGTCTATCTAACACTATAGATATGTCTGCTAACACTGTCATTTCTAAAACATCAACATTTAATATCAATTAAAGTTTAAATGCTTGCTCAGGTACCATTTAAAATTATCTCAATACTAATAGTGACAAGCACATGACCACTTTGAAGCCCGCTGCCTCAAGATAAACTCGGCGCTGATGTACTCATCTGAAAAAAGGTATCCAGTGAAACCCCAGGAAATCTCATCAGCACACGCTGCTAATGACTGACACAATTACAACACATACTTACATACGAGAATAAACTGGAATACTGAGTTGCTTTTTTCTCTCAAAAAAAGATTAGATGTAAGATTAACCTCATGTAGAAAATTCAATATATGTAAGTTGACTAGATGTAAGATGGCCTTATTGGCACTGAAGGAAATTCTTATTTCTAGGAATGATGAACAACTGATTTCAAGTTAAACCAAAAGAATTTTTGAATAGGAATTATCAGTATTATATAGCAAAGATCATGCATATCTTAGAAAAATGCAGCCAAAGGATTCTCAATGAATTCCAAAAAAAAGTTTCGCTTTTTAAAAGCTGAATAAAAATTTTACAGTAAATCTACTGAGACCATTTTCAGATATTATTTTATCTACTGTTTTAAAATAGAAATTCAATGTTAAGGTTTATTACCTTCGGCAATTCCCATTCCGAACGAGATCCATCTGCACTGTAGTAATATTGTCTACCTTGATCATCAACATGCTTGAGCCACTACAAAAACAAAACAGATGTAAAACAACAAACACAAAAACCAAAAAAAGTGTTATTTTTTAAATTTAAGTAAAAGTGAGTTTAAGCTTATACAACCAGAGATATTAGACATTTTTCTTGTGAATTTTATTCTACTTCCTCAAGAACACCGTAAAAAAAACTTACAAACTTACACTAATAGATTTGTATTTTAAGTTTGGTAAGAGTAAGTAAACTCAATATTAAATGTGAATTTATTTCCTCTCTCTTTCTTCCAGTGTCAAGCTAGTTCCAATGTCAAGCACCACTTAACATAAGAAAATATAACATAAAGACACACAGATATACATATACACTGGACACAGTGCCACACTCACTCTGAAAACAGGGTTGAGAAATGAACAAAAGAGAATTTTTTTTTAATCTTCAAATATAAAACTACTGAACAATTCAAGCCAAACTTCGTGCAAACCCTTAGGAATTACTTCCTGCAGCCAACACATTTCTCACTCAGTATCATTTAAATAACACTAATAATAAAACTTCATATGATATGATACAGGGACTATGAGGGGCAAAAGACTAAGTACTGCTAATTTAACACATGATCTTAAATGTGAAATACATGAAAACTAATGTGTCCTTATGTTCTAATGTGAAGTAATTAAGGCAAGCACAACCAACCAGTTATCTTCTCTGATGATACCAGATGTTAATACATAAAATTTCAATATGCATTCCCAAACTAGTTCATCATAAAGTACTAGATTCATGGTTTTTGTTTTACATAACTTGGTTATAAAAGAAAAAGGAGTATAGAAAGTGAGGTGGTGTATCATAGTGACACATGCTGAGAACACTATTCCTAAAAAACCATTCCTCAAGAAAAATATAAAGAAATATGCTTACTGAAGAAGTCTAAACAGAATGACACTCAGTAGGTCTACTCTTAAAAAGGTGTGTCTTAAACAGTTTTGACACCACAAAAATCAGTGTAATTATAAGCAATTTATAACCATGAATCAGTAGTTACATAATGAGTTTTCATGTTGTCAACTGGCATGATTTCAGAATTACAATAAAGAATATTTTCATGCGTTTTTAAAATACTACTAGAACTTCAGTACACAACTATTTCATGAAAGGATTCTGACCAAAAAAACTAGATGAGAAAAAAAGAATGTACCTTTTCATTAGTATAGTCACTGGTATATAAGGTATGCCCACGTTCATCCAACTCTTCTGACCAACCCCTTGGAGGAGAACCACACTGACTATCTGACTGGCTGTAACAAATGTTGTGGTAGTTTTCTTCTGATGAAAGCTATAAATAGTCAGAAACATAAGGATTTTTCTTCTTTGAATATATATATATATATATATATATATGCAGCAGTTGAAAATCTAAGCAATAAACTGTAATTAGCCGTAAGCACTAAGATATCTTGACTATATCTGAAAATTTAATTTTCAAAACAAACTGTTAGTCTTTCAAATAGTACACTGTAAGTGGTAAGGTTAAATTAGTAATAGTTATTTTATCACAACGATGTAACCCTGGAAAAATTCACCATAATAAAACTGAAAACAATGTTTTCAGACTGAGCGATAAAATGCTACCTTCTATTATTTAATTTTGCTTTTAAACTGAAATCAGGTTAAAAACTGACAGGAGAAGGGGCGCCTGGGTGGTTCAGTCGTTAAGCGTCTGCCTTTGGCTCAGGTCATGATCCCAAGGTCCTGGGATCAAGCCCCACATCGGGCTCCCTGCTCCAAGGGAAGCCTGCTTCTCCCTCTCCAACTTCCCCTGCTTGTGTTCCCTCTCTCGGCTGTATCTCTCTCTGTCAAATAAGTATATAAAAATAATAATAATAAAACCCCGACAGGAGTGTGTATGGGTATACACATCCACGTGTAAGCAAAATAGGGGATGAGGGTACTTCATCAGACTGAGTTTCTTGAAAATTCTCATGCCTGGCAAACAAAAGTGCTCAAGATATAAATATATCTTGAATTATGTTTTTTCTAATGTATGGAACTGGGAGGGGGGAGACACTAGTCTTGTAATACTGTATTTTATGTTCTAATTTATTGATTTTACTTGTCTAATTTATTAAAGATAGTTGAAAACTAAACTTCAAAACAAGAAAAAATAATATTGAAAAAATTCAAACATGATAGAGCAGTGAAAAAATTCAGTATGGAAATAACTTAGGTATGCTTTACTTTTAGAAGCATGATAAAGAGCGCCTGGGTGGCTCAGTCGTTAAGCATCTGCCTTTGGCTCAGGTCATGATCCTGGGGTCCTGAGATCAAGTCCCACATCAGGCTCCCTGCTTGGCAGGAAGCCTGTTTCTCCCTCTCCCACTCCCCCTGCTTGTGTTCCTGCTCTCACTCTCTCTGTCAAATAAATAAAATCTTTAAAAAATAAAATAAAAGCATGATAAAATTCAGACATACAAGACAAGCAATTAAGATTGACAAAACTTAATTTCTGCTTTTTCAAACAAGAGGGCACCATAATGTGAGTGAGTAGCAACTTGCTTACTGCACTTAAACTTCATTCATTCACCAATATTTATGGAGATTAGCTCTCTTGTAAATGACCCCTCTAGGGTCATTTTTAGGTAGATTCTCAATGTTGTAGAAGTAACTTAAAGACATAAACATACTAATAGTAACATGTTCACAAAAACTGACATACACAACTTAACAGAAGCCCTGCATAAAGTGAGCTATATACGTTTTGTAACAGTAATGTTAAAAATGGAAAACCTAGGGCGCCTGGGTGGCTCAGTTGGTTAAGCGACTGCCTTCAGCTCAGGTCATGATCCTGGAGTCCCGGGATCGAGTCCCACATCAGGCTCCCTGCTCAGCAGGGAGTTTGCTTCTCCCTCTGACCCTCCTCCCTCTCATGCTCTCTCTCATTCTCTCTCTCGCAAATAATTAAAATCTTAAAAAAAAAAAAAAAAAAAAAAGGAAAACCTATTTCAAAAATCAGGACTTGCGACGCCTGGGTGGCTCAGTCAGTTAAGCGGCTGCCTTCGGCTCCGGTCATGATCCCAGGGTCCTGGGATCGAGCCCCGCATCAGGCTCCCTGCTCGGCAGGAAGCCTGCTTCTCCCTCTCCCACTCCCCCTACTTATGTTCCCTCTCATCTGTCTCTCTCTGTCAAATAAATAAATAAAATCTTTAAAAACAAAAAAAGCAAAAAAAACCCCTAAAATCAGGACTTATTTTTAAATTGAGACCACTTAAAATATACGTTCATGTAAGCAAAGTACAATAAAATCTTTTAGAAACAGAGAAATCTATACAGTGGAATATTATTCAGCCATAAAAAAAAAAAAGAATGTAATTTTACCATCTGCAACAGAGATGGACCTTAAGGCCATTATGCTAAGTGAAATAAGATGATAGAGAAAGACAAATACCGTATGATCCCACTTATGTGGAATCCTCAAAACAAAACAGAACAAATTCACAGACACAGAGAACAGACTGGTGGTTGCCAGAGGTGGGGGAGGAGGCAGGTTAAATGGGTGAAGGGGGCCAAAAGGCACAAATTTCCAGTTATACAATAAATAAGTCATGGGGATGTAATGTACTACATGGAAAACACAGTTAATAATACTGTATCGCATATGTGAAAGTTGCTAAGACAGTGGATCTTAAAACTTCTCACAAGACAAAAAAATTCTGTAAGTGGTGATGGATGTTAACTAGACTTATTGTGGTGATCATTTCACAATATACACAAATACAGAATCACTAGGGTTGTACACCTGAAACTAACAATGTTGTATGTCAATTACACCTGAATTATAGTAAAACTAATTTAGGAAACAAAGTCATTAAATCAATTTTTTCATAAACATGACTTTCTAGCTGACGAAATGCTCCCATAATTTCCCAATTTTTGTGCAGTAAGATGTTTCTTTCTTGCATGAAAAGAAACCTCCGGTATCTCAACATGTTTTATTTCTTTATAAAACCAGGAGTACCTTTAAAATCTTGATATTTACTGCTAGAAAAGAGCTATTTAGTGGCAATTAAATAAAATTATTTTTGGTAAGCATTCTCTAAATGTTAACTGTGCTATACTCATAACTCCACTCAGCAGGGTACTTGGCTCAGTAACTTTGAGGTATATATTTTGCGGCAAATATAGCCTTATAGAGGGGGCTACAGAGATGTTCCATTTACAGGAGAATGACACAGGGATACTGATTACCTGGATTAAAACAATTTAAAATATTACATAAATTTTTCAAGAATCATCCAGAAGCAAAAGGTTAAGAAATACTCAGAGATCAATATAATCTAAATAGAATATAAAGACCAGCTTTCTCTTTGAAGGCATTTGCCAAACCCCAAACTAGAACATTAGTTTTCAAGGCCATGAAGTATTGGGGAACAGGAATCGAGACTACCAAAAGTAGGGAGTGTTAACAGGATTCCCCCCTGACAATAAAGAACTGGAACCCCAAAGAACTATGCCCTCAGATTATCAGTGAGCCAGAAATAAGTCTTGTCCCTTATTCCTCACAAGGGAAATAACAGGAATCTCCCCAGATAAATGGGGGGAAATGGGAGAATCTCCAACCATAAACCAGGCTTCATGCAATCCAAATTACTACTACCTAGATGGCCTACAAAAACTAAAGCTGAAAATTCAGTTTCAAATGTTCACAGGATAGTAGCTTCCTGGCAGAAACAAAAGCAAATCCTCTCTGACAGAACAATCTTTCAACCCCAGCATTAAAGACTTCTATATGTAAAAATCTCCAAGCACTATACATAGTCTAATATTAAAACACACATACAGGGACGCCTGGGTGGCTAGTTGGTAAAGCATCTGCCTTTCACTCGGGTCATGATCCCAGGGTCCTGGGATCAAGTCCCACATCGGGCTCCCTGCTCAGTGGGGAGCCTGCTTCTCCCTCTGCCTGCCGCTCCCCCTGCTTGTGCTCTCAGACAAATAAATAAAATATTTTAAAAAATAAATAAGTAAAACACACATATGTGGACAAGATGTGAAACAAAACACCATGAGTAAGAGTCAGCAGAAAAGCAGCATAATCCAACTTTTAAAGACCTTATGTACCAGAATTATAAAAAATAAAATATAAAATAAGACTAAAGAAAGATATGACAAATAAATGAAATACATGATCCTTCACTGGATCTTTCATTGCAGGAAAAAAATCTATAAAGGATATTACCTGACAAGTGAGAAACACTGAATATTAACTGTGTATTAAGTAACATACCAATATTAAACTTCTTGGGTATGATAATCTTTCACCAAAAACAACGACAACAGTTTTGCTGGAAAATGTCCTTATACTTAGAGAATAAAATATTATGTTGTCTTAATCCAAATGGTTCAGAAAAAAAATTACTAGCAGGTAGAAGGAGGAAGAGAAAAAGCAAATGTGGCAAAATGTTAAAACAGGTAAATCTAGATAAAGGTTATCTAGTATGTGGATGTTCATTATACTATTTTTTTAGGTTTAAGACTTTTCAAAGTAATAAGATGGAGAAGCTCTCCCAAATAAATAAAAGCTAACATGTTTTTAAATTTACAGATTGGTTTAATAATGAAGATGAAAAATAGTGAACAGGAACTACATCAAAAACTACTGAGAATGAAGCACAAAAAGACACAGAGATAAAATTCACAAATAAAGGGAAATCAAAAGACATGACCAATGTAAGCAGATTCAATATTCATCTAATCAAAGTTCCAGAATGAAAGGAAAGAGAAAGTGGGACAGAGGCTATTTATAGAAAACCAGGAATTTTCCAGAACTAATCAAGGACAGGACTCCTCAAGTTCAAGAATCCCAACAAAAGGGGCGCCTGGGTGGCTCAGTCAGTTAAGTGTCTGCCTTCAGCTCAGGTCATGATCCCAGGGTCCTGGGCTGGGCTCCTTGCTCAGCGGGAAATCTGCTTCTCCCTCTCCTGTTTGTGTTCTCTCTTTGTCAAATAAATAAATTTTTAAAAATCCTTAAACAAAGGACTGTATATCAAGTAAAGATATTCTTAAAAAATGAGGAAAAATAAATTTCCAGAAAAAACTACGATTCTATCACTAACATCCTCAGTCACTAGCAAATCCTCGCTAAGAAAATTTAAAAGTACGTGCGTAAGACAGAAGTTACCCAAGACAAACGTTATCCAAGATAATCTCATTTGCATAAAGGAGGGTGACGGGGGAAAAAGTGCTAAATAGGAGGATGAATTTAAGAATCAACATGTACAACAATAAGGGGGCTAAAAACAGAAATAAAAGCCAACAGCAAACAGCACCTACGGTTCTCACATGGCCTTAAAGAGCAAGAGGATACTAACTAACTTTAGACTTTGGGAAGTATGCATGTTAGCCTTTCTAAGGCAGGGCCCGCCCCAGCAGCACTACTGACATTCAGGGCCAGATGATTCTTTGCTGTGGGAGCTATCTCGTGTATCAAGGATGTTTAATAGCATCTCTGGCTTTCTACCCACAAGATGCCAGGAGCCCTCCCAGAGCTGTAACAACAACAAAGTATCTCCACACATTGTCTAATGTCCCCCAGGAGGCAAAACTGTCCCCAGTTGAGAACCATTGTTCTAGGGTAACCACTAAAATAATAAGCTCTAATTAGATGGAAAAGTGACCACTCATTCTCCCCTCTCAAGCCCCACTAAAAGTACTGAAATATGTTTTAAAAGACTTAAACTGCCAAGAACAGGGAGAACACAAGAAGAGAGCAGTCACAAAACTCTGGAAGCTGAGAGGCAGATGAACAAAAGACTAACTTATCTACAAAGAAAGCAGATTCTAAAATGGTGGAGGTAGGCAGTGGAGTTGGTGAGGGAAGTGAAATCCAACCACTTTACAGAGCAGAATCTTCAAATGGCTCAGGAACTGACAGTATTAAGTCCTCCTGGAACTAAGGGTGAAGGCAGGGGTAATGCAATGAGGACTAAAATTGCCAGAATCCCTTTCCTTCAGGCCTGCTTGCTAGGTGTGCACCCTCCCCTCTTCCCAGTAAAAGTACAGGAATTAATTACCTCTTATGAGGAAAAAACAGTAAGATTCTGATTTGGAAGACCAAGAGGCACAACTGGGTCATGGGTACCAACCAGAAAGAGGGGAGACTGAGGGACTATATGCAAAACTAAATGCTGACTACCAAGACTCTGGCCGCCCTTACTTTCCTGGCAGATTTTAAGACTTCCGTGAAGACGGAGTAGTCTAAAAGAAAGACCTAATGGTTCTGACACTAGAGACTCCTGGCAAGCAGCTGATCCATATCGCCATACACTGAAGTTCAAAATGCCCTCCAACTGTGAGGAAAAAATTATTTCCAACCTAGAATTCTATACTCAGGCAAGCTATCAATTAAATATAAGAGCAGAATACAAACATTTTCACATACAAAGTCTCAATATTACCTCCTATATGCAACCTTTCTCAAGAAATTATTAGAAAATGTGCTCTGGAGATGAGTAGTGTAAGCAGAGATTGTGATATACAAATCACTCTCATCTATTTATTAATATGGAAAGCTAAAAAGCATGTTTAAAGTTGCTGTGTGTACTTTAAATTTCCTTATTCTATAATTGAACTTTCCCTAATTCTTCCAAATTATTAGATTTTACTTTATTATTCATATACAGAACAATGTAATTTGAAATCTTTCTAGATCTACAATTCAGTTCAATTCAAATATTTTCCCAACACTTTTCTTATTATAGTAACACATGAACAAATTTCTCTCACTACTCCCGATCTCATTCTTGAACACTGAAAGTACAAGTTACCACCAAACCAAAGCTATCAATAACCAACTGAAAAATAGGACAAGAAGAGGAGTCATTAACTACAAAAAGCTTTTAGATTCCACTAAATACAAGATGTGTTACCTGATTTTTCCAGCTCCTACCTAACTGGAGTTCTGTTTTTATTATACATGCTTTCTGTAAGAGCAGAGTGTCCCATGCAGGTGTAGGGGCCTCCGTCTATCAAACAGCAGGATTTAACTCCATTCTATCAATCCTACCCAAGTCTCTCCTGTATGTCTGAAGAGTCCCAAGGAATCTCTCCAGACCTCTGACATGACTGTTTCTCAAAATATAGCTGGCCAAGTTCACTGCACCACCCTCCAAGAGGTGCAGGGAAAGGTGAAACAAAGGTGGAGGGCAAGTAGTATGAACACTTGATAGAGAAAATAATGATTTTAGAGTAAACAGTCATACTTTACAAGATAGCTCATTTATAGCAAAGGAATTACATTATACTTATTTTCCTTACATATAAATAAAAAGTGATCTTGTACCTCTGAAGGACAAACACTGAAAAGCATCTCTGTAGCCAAACCAAACCAATACAGAAAAGTGTCTAACCAGTTCATAACTTTGTTTTTATTTATGTGGCTAAATCATATCATATATTTTCTTTCCTTTTTCTAAAAAATGTCCTTGATTCGGCAATAACAGTAACTGCATTAGTATCTTCTAGAATGTGAGGGAAGCCACTGGCACTAAGCAATTTTAAATGAGTTAATTCAGGAACTAGTAAACACATTATAAGGTTAGCTACTGTCTACTAGTTAGACATTAGAAAATAACTAGCATTAATATAACGAAACTGGGAAAGAACATTTAGTAGCTTAGAGATTTCAAGTGTTCTACCATTTCAATACCAAGAAATAAACTATTCACTTCTTTGGCCTTGAATAATGAAAAGAGAGAAAGTTTGCTAAGTCACTGGTTGAGTCCTTAATTATTCATACCTCTTGGTCTCCTGGACTCTGGAAATCTCCTTTGCTTATGCCTGTATCCCGAGTCCAACGAGGTGGTTTCCAGGTTCTTTCCTGGGTTCCTCTGTTATAGTAGTAACAACGCCCTGAACTATCTTTATGAGTTTCCCATTCTCCATTAATCTGAATTGCTGGGCTCCCAGGAAGTGGGGGAAGAGCAGACTGGGATATTTTCAGTTCTTGTAGATTAGCGTAGACAGGAGAATCTGGACGTCCTTGATTTGGAGGTGTTGTTGCCTGTGAAAAATGTGAAATATTCAGGCTTAAACTGGCATTTACAAATAAAAATTAAATGAAACATGAGACATAGAAAATACATAAACTTATTTTAAAACATACATACAGGTGTACATATTCTCTCTAAAGAAAAAACAATTTCACAGTATTAAAATTCATGATTTTAAGTGTACTTAGTAACTTCCCCTCACCATGAAAGAATAGTCCACTAGAAGTCAGGAACTGTGGGTTCCAGTTCAAGATCTGGCACTAACAAGTTGTATGACATTGGATTAGATCACCTCATCCTCCCTGAAATTGAATTTTTAAATCTCTGTAAATGAGGGAATCAGATTAAACCACACAGGTCTCCTTTGTCTCTAAAAGTCTATGATTTTAGGCAATTTTTTAAAATACAAAAAGTCTTACATATGAGTAATTAAACATTTTATTCAGAACACTATCAAAAAAGATTTTATGTTCTAAACTTAAACATTAAATCAGCAATATATAAATGAAAGATAAAGGAGATAAAATACTTCAGCTAAGAATTTACTACATTCTATTCTTTCTCAGCTAAATTTCTCAGTAGCAATAAATCATTTACTCTCCTCCTAGGTTCCTGATTTGTGAACTTCCTAACAGTGGAATAATAAGAATCAGCAGTAACTGATTAAAATGCTTAATCTCAATCTACAGCTTTACTTTTTACTTTTAAATGTCTCACTAGATGTCAGTCAAGAGCAGAATATTCTTCATACACTTTGCATAAGGACATTGTAAACTGTATTAAGTTAGAATTCTAGTAGCTGAAGAAAAAAGCACACGTCTGAGAACACCTTTTTACACTGTGCATTCGTATTTGTGTACATATCTTTCCTTCTATGACAGAGTTTCTCAACCTTGGCACCAATAACATTTTGGGTCAGATAATTCTTTACTGTGGGGGGCTATCTTGTGTGTTTTAGAATGTTTACTAGCATCTCTGGCCTCTACCCACTAGATGATAGAGGCATTTCCATTATGCCAACTAAAAAGTCTCCAGACATCACCAAATGTCCTCTGGGGACATAACTGGCTGACCTGGCTGAGAACTATTGCTTTACTATATAAATCCTGGAGTTATATTCAGATGTTTAATTACTTCTATAATGTACCCAAGAGTTTTATGAATGCTTAAAAATACAGAATTTAAAAAGGGAAATGTGGATGGATACACTGAATCAGTTTTATTAAAAATTAAAGCACTTTAACTCCTAAAATATTATTTGCCTGTAAAATAATCATAATGAGTCTAAACCACAGAATAAGATTTATAAGAGAACACAGTAAAAATAACCCCAAACATGAATACATATGTAAAATGATTACATTCGGTCCTTTTACACATGGTAATTACCCAACTACTGTATTCAATGATACAAATTAGACTGTTTTCCTTGAAATGTTAGCTTTGAATTTAGACTACCACCAAACAGCATCTTTCTATGAAGAAAATCTAAGACAGATTTCCATGTAGTATTTCTCTTCCAGACTAATTCCTTATCCTGGTGAATTAGCCAAGGTAACAATGTTTCTCTGACTACAATGAAGTCTGTTAATATAACAAACAATTCTATATAGCAAATCATTCCTCAGAACCTTACCTAGAGAATATTTATTCAACAAGTGTTAAAAGAAGTTCTTATTTTGCTCCTGATACTTTACTAGACTTGGAGAAATAAAGATGCCAAGAAACAGCCATTTTCTAAAAGCTATTTATGGAAAATAATATTAAATCCTTAAGAAACAACCAATTCCTATTATTTAAACAGTTCAAATTCAAACAGGTTTTCTAATTTAAAAAATTGAAATGCTTCAACACGGTTTATGAGACTAGCGTAATTCTAAAACAAAACCAAAGAATTAAATGAAAGAAAATTATAAACCAACCTCACTTACAAATATAAATGAAAATATACGAAGTAAAACATTAGCAATCAAATCCAGCACTGCATTAAGTAAATCAAGAAAGAAGTAGAAATATTAATAAAGTCTGTCTTTAGGAACTCTTTTACTATAATTCTTTACATTAACAGATTCACATAATCATCTCCACAGATACCAACAATGCATTTGATAAAATTCAATGTGGATTCAGGATAAAACTCCTAGACTTTTTTTTTTTTCCTAAGATTTTAATTTGAGAGAGCGCGCATGCACACGCTAGAGCATGAGCAGAGGGGGAGGGGCAGAGGGAGAAGCAGACTCCCCGCTGAGCAGGGAGCCCCATGCGGGACTGGATCCCAGGATCCTGGGATCACCATCTGAGCTGAAGGCAGACACTTAACCAATTGAGCCACCCAGGCGCCCCTAATTTGACTTTTAGAAATTATTATTATTTTTTTTTAGATTTTATTTATTTATTAGAGAGCGAGCGAGAGAGAAACAGCATGAGAGGGGAGAGGGTCAGAGGGAGAAGCAGGCTCCCCGCCGAGCCGGGAGCCCGATGTGGGGCTCGATCCCAGGACTCTGGGATCATGACCTGAGCCGAAGGCAGTCGCTCAACCGACTGAGCCACCCAGGCGCCCCTGACTTTTAGAAATTATTATTTAAAAATAAACATCACAGTTAGCAAGACACTGATAAGAAGCATTTTCATTAGAAGAAAACTAGGATGCCAAGTATCACTGCTTTTATTCAACACTGTACTGGAGGTTCTAAGCAATGTACTACTAAGATATGAAAATTGAGGGTGCCTGGGTGGCTCAGTTGGTTAAGCGACTGCCTTAGGCTCAGGTCATGATCCTGGAGTCCCGGGATCGAGTTCCGCATCGGGCTCCCTGCTCTGCAGGGAGTCTGCTTCTCCCTCTGACCCTCCCGCCTCTCATGTGCTCTCTCTCTTTCTATCTCTCAAATAAATAAATAAAATCTTTAAAAAAAAAAAAAAAAGATATGAAAAATGAGTTAAACTCAAATACCTTAGAGGAAAAAAGATACCCTGATATTTGTCAATGACATAACAAATATCTGGAAACTCAAATCCATAAAAACTAAGAAATTTAGTAAGTTGGCCTGATAAAGATCATCTAATCAATTTTCCATACATGAGCAAGGGCAAACGGGAAAATGTAACAACAGAAAAACCTCATTCACAATAGGAAAATAATACAAATAAGCTTTAAAAGAAATGTACAAAACCAAATGGGGAACACTTATAAAATCTCCCTCAGGTGCCTAAAATCATACTTGAATAGATAAACCTTTGTTCCTAAATAAAAAACTGAACTTTATAATCATGTTACTTCTGCAAAAATTAATGTATAAATTCTACAAATTCAATGCAATGTCCAGCAAGCAGTATAGTTAGTACACTGCCTAGCAAACAGCAGCACTTAATGAAATTTGTTAAATGAATGAACATGTGAACAAAAGAATGCAAACACATAATGCCCAAGTAAAAGCAAAATTCAAAGAGTAGGAACTGGTTACATGTGATAAAAAGAGAAGAATCTAGGAAAACATCCACATTTCTAGTATGGGGAAAGGATGGACAGTTGTGTCACCATTTAAGATAGAAACTATTTAAAAATGAATTGGGAGTCAAGTACTCAACTAAACACTAAGATTATAAATATGAATTTTAAAATGTACTGTCTTCTAAGACTTCATAATACAGCAAAAGAAAAGTCAAACAAAAGATCATTTAAATGTGTAATAGACAAGACTCAGAGCTATGTATGGGACATGCTATGAGAGCAAAAAGGAAAAAGACCTGGAAACAAGTGACTGAGTCCGAGAAATGAATAAATAAGAGTCAGTCAGGTAAAAGGTGGAGATACAGAGGCAATATGAACAAAAGTTTAGAAAAACAGCATGGTACAGTCAAGGAATGTTGTGACTCCTAGAGTAGGTAAAAGGAGTAGCAAGAGAAAGATCTAAGAAACAGCAAATTACAGAACAAGGAGGTTGAAGACTTTAAGCCAGGAAGTACATTCTGACTTAAAATTTAGAAATATTACAGATTTTAGAGGGACATAACCAAAGGCAGAGATCAGTTAGGCTGGTACAAAAGTACAGACAGAAGATGAGGAGAGCTGCAATGGGACAAGGACAGCAGGAATGGAGCAGCAGGGCCAGATTTAAGAAATAATTAAGTTAAATTAGCATGCAGATTTTGTTTGTTTTGTTTATGTGAATCATATTTTTTGTTGTGTGTGTGTTTAACTACAGATCAAATAATGCCAAGATAAAGAATAACATAAAAAAAGAGAAGCAAAGAAGAGTTCCATTCAGATTGTATTAGGTTGATAAGCCTTTGAAAAATGCTCACAGACTGTTGGATATAAAGACTGGGAGTTCAGTACAGAAATCAGGGCTAAAAATATAAATGTAAGTCATCAGTATTTACATGGGGCCAATAACTTAAGTGAGTATACATAATGCGAGAAGGAGGAAAACAACTCTGGAGAATACTAAACAGTTGCTGAAATTAAATTGAGAATATAGGTATAAAGTTAGCACAGGGTCTGACATGGTGACCTCTAGTGTTTTCATTATTATTACAATTATTATTGCAATTAATATAATTGAAGTACCAAAGTTAGAGGATCTAGTAAAAAAAAGGGGGGGGCAGAAAGGAATGTCAGAAATAGAAGATCGAAACAGGAAAAGGTAGTATTTAAAAATCAGAGAGAAGAAAATTTTAAAAAGAAGGGGAATTTGGACCATATCATTCCAAAGACTTCAATACAGGGGTTCTGGAACAATCACTAGAAATTAAGAAGTCATTAAAGGACTTCAGCTTCCAGCCATGAGAATCCAAAATTATCTTCCTGCCATCAACAAGGAGAAAAGTGAATGAAATCTAGGAAACAAGTATATTCAGGCACTGTACAACAAGCAGCGCAGAACTGTGATCTCAGAAAGAAGAAACAAATGAGGTGCGTCCTACCATTCCAAGCTTTCTGCCTGGAGGTAGTTTCCAGAAATCAGCACAGGGAGGAGAGTCCCAAACGGTTTCAGTGACTAAACAGGAAAGA